GGTGGTGAACATGATGTAATCTATGCAGAAATAGAAGTACAATGATGTACACCTGAAATTTTTACAATGTTATAAAGCAATGTTACTGCAATAAACAAAAAATTTAAAAAAATAAAAATAAAAAAAAATAAAAAAAATAAAACCTCTAGAAGATAACATAAGAGAAAATTTAGCAATGACTTTTTTAGATCTAACTTCAAAAGTATGGTACATGAAAGAAAAAATTGATAAGTTGGATTTCATTAAAATTATAAACTTCTGCTCTGTAAAAAACTTTGTTAAAATAATGAAAAGACAAGCCAGAGAGTGGGAGAAAATCTTTGTAAAACTGATACCTGATAAAGGACTGGTATCTAAAATATACAAACAACACTTAAAGCATAACAATAGGAAAACAAACAACCCAATTAAAAAATGAGTAAAAGATTTGAACAGACACCTCACCAAAGATCTACAGATAGCAAATAATAAAAATATCAGAAAATGTTCAACATCATATGTCATTAGAGGAATGCAAATTACAACAGCAATGAGACATCACTACCCACTTATTAGAATGGCTAAAATCCAAAACATGGATAACATCAAATGCTGACAAGGATGAGGAGCAACAGGAACTCTCATTCATTGATGATAGGAATAAAAAACAGTACAGCCATTTTGAAAGATAATTTGGCAGTTTCTTACAAAACTAAATATACTGTCACCATGCAATCCAGCAATTGTGCTCTTTGGTATTTACTCAAATGATTTCAAAAGTTATGTACACAAAAATCTAGACACAAATGTTTATAGCAGCTTTATTAATAATTGACAAAATTTGGAGGAAGCCAAGATGTCCTTCAATAGGTGAGTGGATAAACAAACTGTGGTATTCACACAACGGAATATTATTCAGTGCTAAAAAGAAGTGAGCTATCAAGCCATGAAAAGACACAGAGGAACCTTAAATGCATATTGCTAAGTGAAAGAAGCCAATCTGAAAAAGCTATATACTGTGTAATTCCAACTATATGACATTCTGGAAAAGGCAAAAATATGGAAACCGTTAAGAGGTCACTAGTTGCAAGGGTTTTGGGAGGTGTGGAAAGGAGGGGATGAATAAGTAGTGCCCCAGGATTATTTAGGCCAGTGAAACTACTCTGTATGATAGCATAATGTTAGATCCATGTCATTATACATTTGTCATAACCCATAGAATGTACAACACATTGGCTTATCAAATGTACCTCACTAATGCAAATGCTAATAATAGAGGAAACTATATGCAGGGGATTAGGTATATATGGGAACTCTCTGTATTTACCATTCAATTTTTCTATAAACCTAAAACTGCTCCAAAAAATAAAGTCTCAACATTAAAAACAGTGACTGAACCAAGGTCCTCCTGCTTATTTTTCATTGAACAGATACAAAGGCTGCATCCTTGCTCATTAGGAAAAGTCACCTGGGACATCTCCATACAGTATCAAACTGCTAGGATGCTCCAGAAGCTTTCACTGCAAAAGCCTCCAAAAGAGAAAAGTTTGGATTGTGACCAAGGTTCCAAACCCCCAGGTTTGGTAATCATCGAGGAGGACTCACAGGAGTCAGCATATAGTCATACTCATGGCCAAGATTTATTTGAGTAGAAGACTACAAAGCAAAATCGGTAAAGGGAAAAGATACATGGGGTGAAGTCCAGAGGAAACTAGGTTCAAGCTTCCCAGAGTTCTCTCTTAGTGCAGTTATAGAGGACACACTTGATTCCTCCAACAAAAAGTTATGACAACATACATGAAATGTTTTCTACCAGGGAATGATGTTGATGTTGAACATCATTAGAGACTGAGCGTCCTAAGTTTTTACTGGGGGCTGTACATAGGCACCCTCTGCTGAGCATGTACTAAAACTCCAGACTCCCAGAAGAAAATAAGGTGTTAAGCATAAACCACATTGTTTGTACAGGCATTTTAGGCATAGTGAGTCATTCTTACCATTTAGGGAAACTTTTATATCAGTGTAGGGACTTTTTACCAGCCAAGTTCCCAGACACCAGCCTAAAGCTAATCCTGTAAGCAGACATTTCTAAGCACAGTAGTCTCAGGCCTGTTATGTTAACTCTTTTCTGCATAGGAACCTGGCACAGAATAGATGGAAAAGGAAGAAAACAAAAGTGTGCAAAATGAAAATGGCAGAAGACCCCAGACTAGTACTTCATTTCAGTTTCTGGAAGAGAAGTAGTCCTTCGCCTTTTCCACACTAACTCCATCCACCACTCATCACCTTTAAACACCTCACATGATGTGACGGATACTCACTAAATCAGGTGTCAGGAGATGAGCTTCAGCTTCGCCACAATCTGTGTGACCTTGGACAAGATGATTTCACACAACATTCTTAGCTCATGTCTATGACCTTATTCAATCAGGTATCTCTTTTCATACTTGGATCTTCAATATCTCCATATTTACTGGATCTTTTATCCAACACACAGATTCATTCTTACGTTTAAAATAGTCTTAATCAATTACTTCCTTCCTTCCCTTCCCCAGTGCCACTCTTCTGACTCAGACCCTCTCCCCTAGATCATTGCAATAGTTTCCTAAACTGGCTTTCTGGCTTCCAGTCTCTCCCTGATCGAATTCATCCTATAACCTCAGCCACTTTAAGATTCCTAAAATAGAATTCTACTCAGATTGCTTGTACAACAAAAGGCCTTCAATGATTCTCCCAGAATTCAATACAAACTCTTGAGCCTATTACTCCACAATATGGCCTCAACTTGCCTGATCCTATCTTGTCTTTCATTACCCTCTAATAGTAATGTAAATTCTGGTCAAATCTTTTACCAAACATACTCTATGTTTTTCATCCGTGGAACCATTGTCCTTCACTTAAAAGGTTCATTTCTCCATTTCTATCTGTCAAAAAGTTTACCTACTATTGAATGACCACCTCAACTTGGAAGGGCAACATTATTCCACAAAGCCAATTCTCCATATCCAAATGTAACTTTTTATTCTCCAAACACTTTCCCACACCTATAAGGACACCACATACACATACACATTAAAGTATGTGAAAAATTCTACTTGTATAAGAGTCACATGTATTCTTATTTTAGCATCCCAACTGTAAACTGCAGGAGGGACAGAAGCATGTCTTATTGTCTCTGTAGTCCTGTTGCACCCAGCATAGTGCCTGGTACTTAGTAGGCATTCACCAAATCGTGCCTTATTTGACCTGAAGTCACTGCAAGTCCCATGTAAGCTGTAGTCCCAGTGCAGGACCAAAAAAAAAAGCTAATGCTGGAATACCTCAGGGGAAAAAAGTAGAAGATCTGTTCCTGATCTATCAAATACAACACTAGTTTAACTTTATCCTCACAACACTAGTTTAACTCTATCCTTGTGTAGAATCTGGAACCAGAAACTTAGAACTGAGAGGGACTCTAGAGATCACTGAGTACCACTCCTCCCTCAACAGATAGGGGAACTGAGGCCAAAAGGAAATATCTTATTGAAAATCACACCATGAGTGAGTGGAGGAGCTGGCTTGAGAACTCAGGGCTCTTGAGTCCCAGGCCAGGGTTTAACCTGCAATCACTACTATCATACATGGTTCCTGCCTCAGCAGGGTATGAGGAAAGCCTTGCAATAGGAAGCTGCTACTGTTATCAAGGCATAGCTGGCAATGGAAGGCGGGGACAGGCTTTTTGAACATACCTCTTGTAACTGAGATTCTTTCTTTTTGGAAGACAGATGTAGATGCCGATCCAGCAAGGAATAAAACCTCTCGCCATCCTTTTCAAATTTCTTTTTCCGCTCCTAGACATGGGAGAGAAGGCACAGATTAAGATGTCTAGTTTTAATTCAGTCTGCTCAGAACTGAGAATGAAGGATGCAGCATCAGGTTTCATGTGACCAATCTCTCTAGCTCCTGGGAAGAAAAATAAAAGCAAGAGAGAATTTGCTTTTACATTGGTCTCAGCAGTTTCAACTTCCTAAAATATACCCTGAACCATTCTACCTACACAAAGGGCAGTTCCTACTGGTACAGCTGAAGGCTCTGGGAGCTGCAGCTCAAAGAATGACACCTAAAATGGGCCTGTATGCTGGTAATTTTTCTTCTCCCCAATATTACTGGCATACACTAACTATTCATTCATTTTTTTAAAGGAGGAATAAGAAAAACAGTAGTGAACTAAATATATGCCTTTAAAAGGTTAATCTACAATGCATTTAGACAGCCTAATAATAAGTAAAACATTTCCAAGGTAATAGGAACTCAGGACTGCCTCTGTGAATGATGAGTTCTCTGGTATCGTTTAAGAATTTCATTACTGCATATTTAAAGATGAGGAAAAAATCCTGGAAGGTTTAGCCAGAAAGCAAGAGCTGAAAAGCTTTATGGGGGATGGAAGACTCAGCCATCACTCTCCTCAAGTATGAAATTTAATTAATCTCTCTGCCTCTCAGTACAACTGTAAGTCACACAGCCTCCAAAGGAGCACTAACAATGCTCCTTTGTCCCAGACTAATGCTGACACTCTGCAATCCTCTCAGCACCATGCTGGGAAATCCATGTGCAAGATTTCTGTTGCCTCATAGGAAATCCAAACTCACTGAGCACCTACAGTGTGCCAGGTACTAGAAGAGGCACAGCAAGGGACACACAGATAAAAAGAAAAATAAACACCTCACCATGGTTTATTTCTAGAGGCAATTTATAGCTGGGCAGGAAGCCAAGACAGAGCTGAGTGACCACCGACCTGTAAGGAATGTGCTTTTTACCAGAGGGAAAGAAGTAGACAGGAAGCTAACATTAACTGAGGCCTACATCTGGCCAGCAGAGTGCTAGGTACTCAAAATACATTATCTAATTTAGTCTTTACAACCCTGAGAAGTAGATATTGTAAAGGAAATTAAGGTTTAAAAAAGGTGAACTAACATATCCAAGGTGACATAATATAAAGCTCTATCTGATTTATTCCACACAGTCAAATAGAGCCCAGATGATCGTGGGAGAAATTAAACTCAAGAGGCTTACAAATAATTCAGGAGGCTTGTGAATAAAACTCAAGTAGGTCTATAGCCCTACTCCAACTCAGACACCAAAACATAGGAGATAGAGATTTTCACACAAAAGATAGGTAGAGCAAACTGTTCCTCCAGCTGCTGAATCTATTTAGAGTAGCAGTTGTTTGAAGAAAGCACGGGAGCCAGAAAACGACTTCTCTAGAAACAGAAAAAGTTCTGCAGGTCACTTTCTCCTCCACTTCTGTTTTTTTAAATAAAAACTATGAGATATAATTCACATATCATAAAATTTAACTTTTAAAGTAGACAATTAATTGGTTTTTAGTATATTCACAAATTTGTGCAACCATCACTGCTATCTAATTCCAGAATATTTCCATCGTCTCAAAAAGAAACCCCACACCTATTAGCAGTCATTCCCCATTCACCCTCCCTAAAAAAATCACAATTTACTTTCTGTCTCTATAGATTTGTCTATTCTAGACATCTCATATAACTTAAATCATACAATATGTGGCTTTTTGTGACCGTATTCTTACATTTAGCACGTTTTCAAGTGTCAGGGAAGAGGGAGAATCCCCCTTCGCACTTTCCCTTAAGGTTCTTATGGCTGGCCAGATAATTAAAAGACAGATTAGCAGGAGAAAATAATACCAAGTTTAATAACATGTATACATGGGAGAAACCAGGGAAACTGATTTTCTCAACAAAATGGCAGAGATTCTCATCCTAATTACTCTCTTCAGCTAAAGACAAAGGAGGATGTTGGGGGTGGGGAGGAAGACAGAAGGGAGACAGAAATCACAGTAATCAAGGGTATGCAGATTTAAGTCCTCTCCTTCCATACTAAAAAGAGTTTCCAGAGATAAGGCCACCCCCACTTCCCAATACAGAGAGGGAGATACTTTTACAAATGGAGATTTCCCTTATAAATGTAAATGTTTGTCTGGTGACTCTTTGCAGGGCCACCTAGAGAATGTGGCCTGGGAGAGACAGAATTTTTGATAAGATGGGCTTGTTGGTGCCTTTCCTATTGCAACATCTCTTTTACATTCTATTACAGCCATCATATGATAGTAACTCCTTCCTGGAACAGGTCTTCTATGTTAAATTCTTTAGGCAGTTTGGGGGAGGTCAAATGTCTGTCAGAGAAAATAATCAAGGTAAAGAGATATATTTCAGTGTGGCCAATTTTGATCTCCCACACAAGGTTCATCATGTGGTAGCATGTGTCAGCACTTCATTCCTTTCTAGGGCTGAATAATATTTGATTGTATGGATATGTCACATTTTCTTTGTGAATTCATCAGTTGATGGACATTTGGGTTATTTCCACTTTTTTGGCTGTTATGAATATTGCTGCTATGAATATTCATGTAAAAGATTTTCTGTGGTCATGTTTTCAATTCTTTTCAGCATACACATAGGAGTGGAATTGCTGAGTCATATGGTAACTCTGTTTAACTTTTTGAGGAACCACCAAACTATTTTCCAAAGCAAGTGTATCATTTTACATTACTTACAGCAATGAGTGAGAATTCCAATTTCTCCACATCTTCACCAACCCTTATCTGTCTTGTTGATTATAACCAACCCTGTGGGTGTGAAGTTGCATTCACTGTGGTTTGATTTGCATTTCCCTAATGATTAATGATGTTAAATGTCTTTTCATGTGTTTATTGACCCTTTGTATATATGTTCTTTGGAGAAATGTTTATTGAATTATTTTGCCTTTTTTCAAATTGGGTTTTTTTATATTTACATTTTTGAGTTACAAGAATTCATTATATACTCTGAATACTACATGTGCAAGTATTTTTCTCCGATTCTTTGGGTTGTCTTGGCACTTTCTTGGTAGTGTCCCTTGAAGCACAAACATATTTAATTTTGTGAAGTCTAATTCACCTATGTTTTCTTTGGTTGCTTGTGTTTTTTTGGTGTCTTATCTCAGAAACTGTTGCCTAATCTCAGATTTACAACTATGCTTTGTTCTAAGAGATTTTATATTTTTAAGTCTTAATTTTGAACATGATGTGATATATGACTCCAACTTCATTCTTTTGCTTGTGGATATCCAATAGTCCCAGCATCATTTTTTCAAAAGACTATTTCCCCATTGAATTGTTTTGGCATTCTTGTAAAATATCAATTAACTATAAATGTATAAGTTTACTTCTGGACTCTCAGTTCTATTCAATTGATCTACATGTCTATCTTTATGCCAGCACCACACTGCTTTGATTACTATAGTTTTGTAATAACTTTTGAAATTAAAAATTTTAAGTCTTTTTCAATATTTCATTTTCTATTCTGGTCCTTTTTATGTGGATTTCAGGGTCACCTTATCAATTTGTGCAAAATGGTCAGCTGTGATTTTGCTAGAGATTGCACTGATTCTGTAGATCAATTTTGTGAGTGCTATGATCTTAATAATAAGTCTTCCAATTTATGAACATGGGATGTCTTTCTATTTATTTAGGTCTTCCTTAATTTCTTCCAACGATGTTTTGTAATTTTCAATGTACAAGTCCTGCTCTTCTTTTGTTAAATTTATGCCCAAGTAATTTAATCTTTTAGATACTACTGCAAATGGGATTGCTTTAATTTTCTGATTGTATAGAAATACAATTTATTTTTATATATTGATCTTGTATTCTGCAACCTTGTTGCACTTCTTTAATAGTTCTAATATTGTGTGTGTGTGCGTGTGTGTGTGGACAAGTTCCAAGACACACTCAAATTACCTAGACTGCCTCAGGAAGAAATAGAAATTTTTAACAAATCTATAAGTAAAAACATTGAATCAGTAATCAGAAATCTCCTAACAAAAAAAAGTCCAGGAACAGATGGCTTCACTGGTGAATTCTAATTCATTCTCTGAGGTCACCATTATCAGAATATCAAAGTCAGATAAACACATCACAAAACAACAAAATTATAGGAGGACAGTGTCAAGATGGCAGCGTGGGCAGACTCTGAACTCATCTCCTCCAATGGACACAAGGAATTTACAACTACTCTTGAAACAATTACCCCCTAAGAGAGAACTAAAAACAACCCCTACAAAAAAGGACAGTTCTGATTGAGGTGGAAGAGGCAGAAATTTTTTTGTGGAGAGAAAAAAGCCATCTTCTAGCCGCAACGCTTCACAGCTGGCTGGGAGCAACATTAAGGTACAAAGCCTTCCCAGGAGGAGGGGGGAATCTGACCAGGGGAGCGTTACCACAATAAGCAACTTTTGGACTCAGAACAACTGAGACAAGTGCCACAATACCTGGCTTTGCTGGCTGTTAACTACAATGGGAAATAACCCAAGAAAAGCTATCACACGTAAGGGAAAAACAGCCTGCTCGTAAAGGGACAACACACAAATTCACCCATTTCAGAAAACAAACTGAAATCACCAGAAAGAGAGGTGCACAGTCCTTTGGTGAAAAGAGACTACCCTGATAGGCTCTTGGAGAATCTTGGTGGGAGGTGAGACCTCTCCAGGGACTGAGACATTGGCGGCAGGCATTACTGTGACCTAGTACAGGCATGCTGACACAGATGTTGGCAGACGTCATGGGAGTTCTCCCCCTGGCCTGTTAGCACAGTAGTCTGCCCCACCAACAAGAGCACTGATTTAATCGAGCTCCAGGGCAGGCAGCCCACCTGAGGGAGTGACCCCACCCAACAGCAAGCCCTTGGGCAACTTGTGGGCCAGCATAGAGGGGGTGCCTGGAATCCCCGCAACCGGGTTATTGGGTCTGCCTCTGTGGAGCAGGGTGTGCGCAAGGGGCAGGACT